ATCATATTTGTGCTAATGTATAAGATATTTGAATTAATTTTGGTGTTGCCTTGAATATAAGACTTCTTCTACTTCAATTTTTGGTTTTTATCTATTATTATAAGAAGTAGTAGTAATTGTTTTCTTTTCAATGTATTATTTATAATCTAAAAGTTCAACAAACAATACCAAAAGTATTAGGTGAATCTTTATTGATTATAATAATTATAATTGATATACAAATAGATTAATTTATTTAAGATAATTAATAGAACAAGCCTTCAAGAATCTAAATTTTTACAAGGCCAATTAATCTTGATATTATAACAAAGTAACTATACCTCATTATTAACTTTGAATAAATCTTGTTCTTTTTTTTTAAATGTCTTCATTAGTTATTTTTATTATTCTTAAGTCTTAATTGATTGTATTTTTATTATTATATATTAATCTATTTTTTTAAGTAAAATTTATTAAATAGAAAAATATATCATATTATTTTTTAAATTTTTTGATGATGGTAAAAAAGTTATCTTATTGTCTTAGTAATAATTGATAGTCTATTATAAATATTATTCCAATTCATGATTAAAATATTCTATTTGTCTTTTAATTTAAAGATAAAAAACTAAAGATAATTTAATATTAAATTTTAATATATTAAAAAGTATTTTCAAAAACTCTGATATAAATTAAGACCTTAGATTAGATATGATATTGCCTAAAAATCTATGATATTATCAAATATTATTAAAAAAAATGTTTAGCAATTCCTCCATCTCTAATAATATTTATATATAATATAAAATATGAAATTTTAACTAAAAAATCCACCATCACAAAAATAGAATCATAAAAATCAATAATTAAAATATTTTTTATGAAGTCCATTGAATTAAATGGCCAAAGTTGCTATAGAATAGGTAGAAGCTTAAGAAATTTATAAGAACAATGATATGGAATGTTTGCTTAAGTATTATTATTACAAGAATTTAAAAAAAAAATTAGATGGTTTTTTATATTTTAAATCATCAAAACTATCTTAAAATAAGTTCTAAAATTTTGTTATATTCAAAATATTATATTATTAGAAAGTCATATTGTACTTAAATTACACACAATTATTATTGATCTATTAGAACTTATAAAATAAATTATGATAAAGAAGGTTTTTTAATCATATGCAACATCTTTTTTATAAAAAAAATCTAAATAATATATTTGATAATCCTTTTTTAATTTGATATATAATATTAATTACAAATCATAGCAATGACATTATTAATGCACTTGAAGACATTTTAAGATATGTATTGATATGAAATACTAAAAGTTCTAGTAATTAATATAAATTGTGAATAGATTAGAAGTGCCTTTTAGATGATGATGCCATTTTTGGAATAAATCTACAATAGCAAGAAGTTCTTTGTTATGAATCTTTTAGTTGATCTTAATTATTAAAAACTATCATAAATGCAAGGCAATAGGATGAAATTTATCATCTATATCTATTTTTAATAAAATTTTATTTGATACATTTTTTTGTGAAAACATTAGATTACATTTGTTTATAATATCATTTTTATGAAAACATTAGATTTGTTTGAAATATCATCCAAATGTTTCCATAAAAAAAATTCAAGAAAAATTTGGATGATATTCAAATAGAAATTGGAATAAGATTGTTTTTAAATCTTGAAATACTACTTTTGCATCATGACTCTAGTACATTTGTCTTTGTAGGTTTATTTTCTAAGTAAAGCATTGTCTTTAGATGAATTATTAATATATATTTGATAATAGTTTGTAAATTTTAAAAAGTATTAAATATCACATATTATTCTTAAAATTATCCAATTTATAATAGTTTGTATATTTTTAGATTATATTTATAAACCATCAATTGAAATAAAAATATTGTAAAATTTCCACTTGAATTATGTGGAATACACATTCCTTTATCTTAGCATATAGTTACACATCTCTATGTTTTTGTACTACAAAACAAATATATTATTCACATTCTTATATATTCTTAGAATAGACAAGAATGTTATCTAAATAAAATACAACCAAATTAACTAAAATTTATAATATATATTATTTATCAAATATTAAAAAGCAGCTAGAGCACTTAAGCATCTAAAAGGCATGACTTTATAATCAAAACAGCCATATGAAGCTTAAAATACAATCTTATATTCATCTTTTTCTTTAATACATATAAAATTGTAGCCTTTTTATAGATCTATTTCAGTAAAAAAAAAAACTAAGCTTAAATAAATTGAATAAGAAACTTTAATATCAAAAATAAAGGTTAAAAATTCATCTCTCTTTGTTTTTTCAAAAAAATCTTGATATTTATTATAATGCTTTGAGATTATATTCCAACCTCTACTTGAATGAGTGCTTGATGTTACATAATTAATCCATAAATCTCTTTCTTTTGCAGCTTATATAAATGTTTTAGCTTCTAAAAATAGAGGTTTGTCTTTGATGACATAAGATACACTTTTTTTTTTGTTATTTTTAAAATAAAAAAGAATGAATTAAAGACTACATAATATTCTATCTATTTGAAGTTTATATCTTTTTAACCATAATTATCCTAAAAGATTATAATAGTTTAGAAATTTTATAGATAAATAAATATATTTATATATTAAAGCTTATTATAATTTTATAATTATATAGTATTACGAAAAATTTGATAAATTTTTTAATTTTTTAAAAAATACAGTTTATTTTCAATAAAATACTTAGATATTTAAATATTATCAAATTATGTAAAAATTAAAAATATGTTTAAATAAACACTCAAATAAAAAATATTAAGAGAACTATTCAAATGACCTATCAAGCATCTTAGTGCAAAATAAAAAATTATGATTTGTAGCAATCTCTATTTAATACATTATTTTAGTTCAAATTAATTATATTTTATTTTTATATGACATGTTTCTAAAAAAACAATAATATCTATATTTCTTATAAAAACAAAAATATGAGAAATTTAATATCTTTTTAATTAAATATTATAGAAACTTCTTTCTCATTGATATTATGTACAAATATCTTTAGATGCAATATGTGGCTATATAATTTTATTATAAAAACTCAATAGATCTAAAAACCTAGCATAAAAATATTTTGCAACTTAGATACTTAGATACTTCCTTCACAACTATTTTAGATCTTTAATAACTTGTATATATATATATATATATATATATATATATATATATTAGCTAGTACATATGAGGTCAAGATTAAAACCTTTTTTAGTCTTACTAATGTCACTTTTATATTCTAAGCTTGCCATAAGTTTCTTTAACTTCTTGTACTTGAGAATAGTTGTTCTAATTTATTGTTATTTAAAAAATAGGTGTACAATTGTTTTATCTCTTTGTCTAATCTTTTTTCTCATATAACATTGTCTTTTTTGAGTCTATTTGGATCAATGTTATAAAAAGATGTTTTATTAATCATATCAAAGAATGTAAAAATAATAATAAATTTTTCTTAAAATATTAGACAATAGATTTTAAAATGGTCACAAATAGATCTATTTAGATTAGATATAGATATTATTTAAATATAATCTATTTAAATTAAATTATTATTTATTATAATTATTCTTATGCATATATATACATATATATGTCATAAAATTAAACTTTTTAATAAAATATTTAAAATAAAAAAATTGATTTAAATTTTCAATAGTATTGGCTTAATCAATAATATTATTTGATAATTTAAGTCATCAATAATTAAATTGAATGATTATGGTTTTTGTATAGCAAAAGATTTCTTATTAAGTTTTTAAAATTTGTATCACTAGAAAAAATAAAATAAAGCCAATACAAAAATATAAATAGAATTATATGTATATAAAGTAATATAGAATAGAAAGGAAATTAATAAAAAACTACTCATGGCTAAAACTATAAAAACTCAAAATGATATTTAGGAGGAGGTTCAGATAAAAACATGGTGCAACATGACCAATATGTTTTTGTAAATTTGTTTATAAATCTAAATTACATTCATTAATATATTTAAGAATAATTTATATATACATACAATATTATATAATATAATGTTCTTTTTAGCTATCTTGCAAGTTATTTAGATACATGATTGGTTTAATAGTGATACAAACAATACTTAAATCCTTTGTATTACAAAATTTTATAACTTCATACAATGTTTTTAGATTCAATTATTACATTTAAAACAATCTCTTTCATGATAAAATATAAAATTTTATTTATATAGTATTCTGAAAAAACATTCATTATAATTAAATGCTATCCAATATGTATCCATCAATAATGATTAATAAAAGTTGGTATCTTTAATCATATATATATATATATATATATACATATCATCATCATAATTTTTTGTTAAATGTTTTCATCTTATTCAACAATTTCAATATTTGTTATAGATTTCACATATAAGCAAGATTTGTCATTATAAATTTAATGGACTAAGTCCATTATTAATTTATAAATATAAAAGTAGATAAATGATTTGCTCTTAACACATAAGTAGAACATTATTAGAAATAAAAAAGTACAAGAGTAAAATTTGTAATAATAAAGTCATAGCTGAGCACACTAAAATCATCAAATAATGATGTACTTAAAAAACAGATGTATAATGACAAAATCCTAAAGACAACAACCGATACAAATTATTCCAATACAAATTAGATTCAAAGTGTATGGCTAAGGTATTAAAAACACTCTTCAATAGAAACAATTATATTTAATTCAAAAATGTCCCAACTTGCAAAAATTGACATGAAGCAAATTTCATGAAAAATGGATGATTCAGAGAACTTTTTAAAAAAAATTGAAACTGAGTTGGTGTCGTGTCATCAAAAGCAATCCAGCAAACTCAAAAAAAAAAAAAAGGTTCAGAAAAAGTTACAAAAAACAATGCTCTTCAACAGTGAGAGACGACGAAGACGAAGCGGGTGAGGTAGAGGAGGAGGAGCAATACACAATTTTCAATCGAGTTACTTCGTGTGTGTTTTTAGGCATCATCGTTGCCTCGTTCTCTCCGCTTCCCCCGGGGGTTGTTTGTGGTGGTGGTGGTGGGAGTGGTGGTAAACTCTTGCTCTCGCTTGCCGCACTGTAGTAGTGCAGTAGGGGTGTTGTTTTTTCACGAGGAGGAGGTGGAGGCGTGGTGTTGCTTCTATCTGGTGTCATTGCATTGATTGGTGCCAGGTACGGAGCTTGTGGGTTTGTGGACTGGGTGTGGGCATGAGGAAGGTTGCTGGATTGATGGGTTTATAGAGAGTTTGGAGGTGAGGTAGTGAACTGGAGTGAATTTGGTCGGGAGACAGTTTTAGGGTTTGTGGGTGAGAGGGGTTGGTGAATGGGTTTTAAGGTGGGAGTCTTCCGAGGTTGTGCGAATTCATGTCTCTGTGATTGGAGGGGTTCTGGCGTGCTAACTGAGTTAGGTTACAGCTGCGGATGCGTTGGAAATTGCGGTAGACGCGATGGACTCCAGACGGCGTGCACCTGTGATTGGCCCTAAGGTGCGCCAGGTTGGATTTGTGACGCCGAACGCTGATAGCCCTGGTGAGGGAGTAATGGAAAAAGAGGCTGGAAACTTAACTACTAATTCGCCCACGCCTGTTACTATTGCTCCGACGCGTCCTGTTATCGAAATTCCTCATTCGCTGAAGGCTGACCCTGTGGCGGTGCCATCCCCATCTCACAGGCGAGGAAATGAGGTTGACATTCCCTCTGCTCCAACTGCCAGCTACAATCCTAATGATTCTGTACTCGACGGGTCGTCGTTGCCTTCCAGCAAAGGAGGTTTGGTGCATCCTCTGATTTAGCAATGAGGACCATGTTCAGCGTCTTTTCAAATTTCAATTTACTTCCCTTTTAAGCAGGACTGACAGGACTTAGGTTTTCAGTTGTCAAAGTGAACCGACTCGTTAGACTTGTTACTGTGTTGAGCGTAGCTCAAGGATTGCACTTGCCGAGTCTTGCTGCAAGAGTAGTGGATTTAATGGCCCTCAATTCAGTTGATCTCCAAATCCTGCCAATTGGTGCACGGAAATCTTAATATAAGATTGTGCCTCGTTTGCAGGGAGCACAATCAATGATGTGTATGGTAGTTTGGTATCTGAGAGTGTTGCCGAATCATCACCACTGGGTAGGCCTACTGGCAGCACAGTTGGAGCTTTCGCAGAGAGGGTCAAGCAGAAGACCTCAGATTCAGCCATTGGCTCAGCAGTGATTGATGGTGGTGTAGCCAGCGGTAAGCCTGGTAAAGGCTCGAAAGCGAATAATCGTGGAATTCCAGCTTTGTCAAGCAGTGATGCAAAGTCTTCCGAAGCACCTGCTGATGGTATGTTTCCTGTCATTCAGATGAACCTTTATACTGCTTCATGGATGTGACGGGTTTACGGGAATTGACAACTTTCGTGTAAATTCTTATCACCGGAAGTTTTGAACTCAGGGTCCAAGCCACTGAAGGAAAGAACATCAAAAGCTGAGAGGAGAGCGAAGCAAGAGGCAGATCGGGCAGCGAAATTGGCTGGTAAAGGAACTGGTAAGTGGGCACTGGAACGTCGTTGTCGTGCTGAATGGAGTCACTTCTTCAAACTTTAGTCTCAAACTGATAAAAGGTTGAAACACCATGCAATTTTAGACCCTTCTTAACATCTTATACTCTCCAATGATCACCAAGCATGAATTGTCTGTGAATTTGGTAAGAACAGTTGATAGCCTCGATATGTGATACTCAGAATTTTTTTCATATGTTTCATTATCTGAAAAAAGTAAGAAAAAATAAAAAAATAAAAAAATAAAGTCCTTCAGTAACTATTTCTGATTGTTTTGTACTTTGGTGTTTAGGTGCCTTTCGATATCGGCTAGCAGTTCCAAGATTCTGCTTAGCATGCTATTTCTTAAACACTGTTATACTGAAACTTTCAATCTGAAGCACATGAGCGTATTTTTCTCTTACCAGGAGGAGGAGCAGGAGGAGATCCTAATGCTCAAACCAAGAACTCAAAAGGAAAAAAGGACAATGCACCGGAAAAGAAGAGCGTACAAGCACCTGAGAAGAAAGGATCAGACAAATCCAGCGAAAATCAGAAGAAGAAAGAAGTTCCAGCTCCTCGCCTTCAATTTGACGACAAGGAACGAGTAGCAAAGTCCAAAAGGCGGTCTTTAGTGGAACAAACAGAGACCAAGAACCGTGTTGAACTCTTCAGGCACCTGCCTCAGTTCGTTTACGGGACACAGCTACCATCCTTGGAGGCGAAATTCTTTCAAGATGATGCCATGCACCCGCATCCTGCAGTCTACCAGGTTCGACCACTTGTTCAATTTTCATCACGACATCTTTACGACCTTTTCGTACCCTCATCTTGAAAGTTGGACTCGTGAAGTGTCCAGCAGAGCACAATCTGACCTGAATTTCAATTAATGTGTCATCTTCACTTGGCTCGTTCCCGCGAAATATTTTTATGATTTGCCAATCCTCCTGTTTGTAATCGGAATTGGGGTATAAGCATCCTTATTCGTACTTATTTTGTCAATTTTTGAACAAAAAATGTGGGTTGATGCTTCTGTGGATGCGGCAGGTTGGTCTTCAGTACCTGACTGGAGATATAGTAGGAGGTAATGCCCGATGTGTGGCCATGTTGATGGCTCTTCGAAGCATGATAATAGACTATGAAACCCCTCCTGAGAAGACTTTGGTCCGTGATTTGGTGACAAGAACCAACAACCACGTTAATTTTCTCATTACTTGCAGGCAAGTATTACAATCCATCGTTTGAGAGGTTCTATGTATTTGGAAAATTAGAAGCCTTGTGAAATGGTTTGGCATCAGATCTATACCTGCTAAGGATTGGACTAGCATTTAATACCATCTACATATGACTCTTGCACTAATATGCTTCGGCGGTATGAACGATTGTTTACCTCGCTGAAATAGAAGTGCGGGGCTTCATCGAACTTTATTTTATTTTATTCGGTTGAAAGATTGCATTGCTTATTTCCACCTTCTTTTTTTTTTTATTGGTGAACTGAACAATCTGAATGCAGACCCCTTTCAATAAGCATGGGCAATGCAATCCGCCTTCTCAAAGCGAAAATTGCAAAGCTGGACCCTAGTCTTCCTGAGGCCGAAGCCAAAGCTAGTTTGATTGCCGACATCGATACGTTTATGCTGGAGAAGATCGTATTTGCGGATAAAGAGATCGTCAAGCATGCGGTGACCAAAATCAGAGACGGAGACGTCGTTCTTACTCATGGATATTCCTCTGTTGTGGAAATGATCTTAGTGAGAGCGAAAGAGATGGGCAAAAAATTCCGAGTTGTGGTTATTGATTCCAGGCCTAAACTCGAAGGGCGACGTCTTCTTCGTTCCCTTCTCAGCAAAGATATTCATTGTACCTACACCCATACGAATGCTGTTCCCTACATCATGCAAGAGGTTACGCGTGTGTTTCTTGGGGCAGCATCTGTTTTGGCTAATGGGACTGTCTATGCACGAGTTGGGACGGCTTGTGTTGCCATGGTTGCTCATTCATGTGGTGTGCCCGTCATGATATGCTGTGAAACTTACAAGTTTCATGAGCGGGTGCAACTCGATTCGATCACTTCTAATGAGTTGGGTATGTAACATTTCTGCGTCCTATTCGTCTTTGGGGAATCGATAATTATGTTGTCTGGGAGATACTTGTGTTTCCTTACTTTCTGGTTTTTAAAAATTTCTGTAGTGAACAAGTTCTTGACAATGTGTCTTGCTTTGGTGACAGGCGACCCGGATGCATTGGTGAAGGTGGCAGGGAGGAAAGAGTCAGCTCTTGAAGGCTGGGCTGACAATGAACATTTGCAGCTCTTAAACCTCACGTATGTGTTCTGATTTGTAAAGCTACCTCTTTGAGTTAAAACAGCCACAACATCGAGCAAATTATGTCAAGTTTATTAGCCACGTAGCAGTCTTTTAGTAATACCTCTAACATTCTTTTGCCCTTTCAAGGGTGTTTTGGCATCGTTTATAATTTGATTTGCCGTGAGTTGCAGATATGATGCAACGCCTGCAGATTATGTCTCCATGATCATCACCGAGCTTGGCATGGTGAGAATCTATTTTGTACTTAGTACGATTTTAATCTACAGCTAATCAGTCCATTCAAACTTGCTTTTTCACGTCTCTGTAACTAAGTCCATTCTAAGGTAACAAAAGCAGCGCTTTGTATTTGGCCATTAACGGTTCAGTTGTATACTCCATGCGACGTTTTTATTTTTTTACCCTCATGTCCTGTTTTCAGAAGCAGATCATTATGGACTACGTATGAGCTTTTTTTCTGTGAATAGTGCTTTTCTGACGATTAATTGTTGTGATTGTGCAGGTCCCACCAACCAGTGTACCAGTGATACTTAGAGAATATAGGAAAGAGCCTGCAGTTTAGATTTGGATTTGAAAATATCACTTCACAAAACCACAGATAGTTCATTGGTTAGCGTAGGATGAAACCATTACGGGAAAGCTCATGTTGAGGTTTTTCTCAAATCTTTTAAGAAGCGAATACAAATTTTTGTTAATGATAATGTCTAAACATCTGTTTCGGGTTTTCATGAATTGTGAATAACACTCCATTGAAATGCCTCTGTAAGGGTTATTAGTCGATGTCACTAGTGTCATCATCTGCTGCCTTTGTTCCTGAAATGCTTGAATCCTTGTACGGACTGTATTAGAACCAAATACTCTTCCACATTTTTTATATAATTTGTCCAATCTGCTGTCCATCAACAAGAATATTACCAATCCATCTTCGAAACTTCAACTTTTTTGATTTCTATAAGTTTCAATTTGTTTCATAAAGCTGCAATAAAGAGTAAATCAATTTAACGTAGATATATTTTTATTTGTGTAGCAGTTACTGATTGATAGTACAAATCATCAGTAACTGTGGATTTTTGCCTCTTTTCTTCAATTACATGTAGGCGAATGTTGGGTAGCTGACTCAGATTTTGTGGCCAGTTCAATAATAGACATCCAATGGTTAGGATGATTCAAAGATTGGTTGTAGGGGTTCAAGGAAACAAATTTGAGACGTATAAAAAAAACTTAAAAAAATTAAATTAAATTAAATTAAATCAAACAATTTAAAGTCAAATTAAAACCAAAAGATGTAAAGATTATTTTTCAAAAATTTAATAGATTTTTTATAATAAAACCATGATGTTATAAAAAAAAATGAGTCAGTAATTAGGAATTTTAAATTCTAACTATAACATTATGATTTTAAGTATTAGTAAGTATGACTTTATACATATATTTTATATACTTTTATTATGGTAATAAAACATAAAGTCAGTATGTGCACCAAAATCTTCAATAATATTTCTATATGAAAAAAATTATGGGTGAAATGATTGTTGATTCAAATATTTTTAATATTGTTAAATAATTATATATGAAATTTTATATATGAAATTAACAAACATTCAATTTTAAAAATATATAAACCCTAAACCCTAAACCCTAAACCTGGTTTTTGAAATGTTTTAAAAACTATAAAATGTGTAAAATTAACAAACATTCAATTTTTAAAATAATATTTAATGAAATAATAAATGATATTACTATAAAAAATTAAAACTCTTAGAATTTTTATTTTATAAAAAATTGAAAATTTGACATAAAATTGATCAATTTAGACTCCTGGTGCTCAGTAATTTAACCTATGGTACTTCGCAATTGTACAACACATGCTTCTGGCATTATAATGATATTGTTTCTCAAACCATTTTCAAATATAATTTCTAGAGTATTTGAAATGTACTTTAAGAAATTTTTCAACTTTTGTGTGCTCGTTCATAAAAATTACTTCTTTTGTGTTTTTAAAAAACTGTTGTGTTGTTAAAATCAAATTCAAATGTATGTATAAATATATATACATATATATAGTTTTTGAATTTTTTTAATAATATAATAAACAAAAATCTAACTACAAACTTCACATAAAGCTTTTAAGTATATTAAAAGACAAAGAACAACCATTATATTACAAAAACAAACAATGCCAAAGATGAATAATAACAATTTAGTAGTAATAAACTACTAATAATCATAATCAAAAACAAAGTTAAGTAATTAGACTCAATTATGAAGTCATTAAAGGCAAAAACATCTTGTTAAAGAAATTACTATAAATACGCTTATAAAAATATTTATTCCGTTCAACTCAAAATTAAACTTAGAAACTAAAATGAAATATACTCATAAGATCATAATGTATGAGAATAGATATAGTCAAATACAAAGCCTATAATATTATGAATCAAGGGTAGAACACAAAAAATATATTAATTAGATTAATGATGGCTTGAATCTTGTTTCTATGTATACTAATTAGGAAAAAGGTCATGTAGAAGCTTTCTAAAAACCACAAAGTTTAAAAGATAAATATCTAAGTTGCAAAATTTGAATGTAGTTACTTTTTTGTAAATAAAAAAACTCTTGGAGAAGTTATTGTACCCTCATGATGCAATTACAAATCTAATTTAAGTTTAGAAAGATTTTTGAATGTCTCTCAACAAAAATATTATCTACCTTATCTATTTATACCAACTTCAATTTACCTCTACTTACCTCAAGAATATAGATATTAATGATAGAAGTTACAATAATATAGAAACATGAAAGAACAACCAAAATAAACAACAAATTATAAAAAATATATATAAAAAAAAGAAATAAATTTGGATCCAAAAAAAACCAATGAAATATACTATAATATTAAAATATTACATTAAAACATTAGAATATTACACACAAATATTATACATAATGTATTAAGAATTGAAATCTAATAAAATAAAATAAAAATCATGAAAAACAACAAGAATTGGATAGAGAAGGATAAAAACAACCAAAAAAATTTGACTTTATCAAAAACCTTTATCTAACTAAAGGAATTTCACAATAATTTTTATCTACGAAATAGACAATAGTAATATGAGAAGGTAGAAGATGTCCCCACAAGGCCCATATAATTTCTTCGAATTGATTACATTTGACCACATCAAACATCCAAGTTGTTTCCCCTCACACTATTTTTGTCTTACCAAATTGCGTGACGAAGGTGGCCCCGACCAGCGGTCGGTCCGAGTAGGAGGGGGCCCCTGAAATTAGGGAACAGGGGTCCGCACATGGTCCACTCGTCTTCCAGCTCCTTGTCCGCTGCTGCTGCTGCCCATCTGTCGCGGAATGTGTTGAATTGCGGTTTACTTCCGCGTACCCATTTATCCTGAAGACGATGCCGATTTTCTTCCGCTACTGTAGGTTATGATTCATCAAAGATTTTCAGGGTTCAGACTTATGCAGACATTTTTCCCTCAAGTGGAGAAACGGAGACAACGGGGTGTAGCGTGTTCGAGCGTTGAAGAATCTCTGATTTGGTGAGAGACGGTGCATGGTCGGTTGTTTCGAGGGTTTTTGATTTGTAATTGAATTGAGTCATTTTCGTCTTTTACCTCTTTTTTTTTTTTGGGTTTTGTCGGAGCTTGGAGATGGGAGTTGAGGTGGTATGTCAGATGGTGAAGTCTAGGGTTTTGTATTTATGGGCTGTGACTGTGGGAGTCTTGGTCGTTCAAGTGGTCGCAATCAGACCCGATCAGACTTCGAAGAACATGGGAGAAACGAGGGTTGCTTCCTTTGCGCTGGGATCCTTTTGGCGAGGAGAGGCAGCGTTTGGTTGTTTGCCAGGGGTGGTGAGAACTAGGGCGGGGTATGCGGGAGGGTTGAAACAAAACCCTGATTACCACAGCGTTGGCGATCATGCCGAAGCTGTAGAGGTAGAATATAACCCAAGCATGATCTCGTTTGAGCAGCTGTTGAAGGTTTTTTGGGCCAATCACGATCCCACTCAAATTTTCGGGCAGGGTCCAGACGTTGGTCCGCAGTACAGGTCGGTGGTTTTCACACAAGACGATGAGGAAGCTGCTGTAGCCGCAAAGAGCAAAGCGGCGGAGCAGAATAAGCTGCCACAGAGCGAAGTTGTGACAGAGATTCAGAGTATGGGGGTTTTCTACCTCGCAGAGGCAGAACATCAGAAATTCGAGCTTCGAAGGAAACCCCAATTGTTCCAACTTTTGGGCGATATTTCAGACGAAGACCTGACTTCTTCAGTTTTGGCGACGAAGCTGAACGGATATGCTGCAAATTTGTGCCCTCCAAACATGAAGAAACTCCTGGATACTAAGGTCAGTCCTTTTCTGCTGACTCGACCTAATCTACAGCAGATTCTGCAGTTTTAGATGTGATGCGCCTTATATGTAGATTGACATGCTGGTCGTTTAGTTCTGTAATTTTGCTCCCATTTAGCAATTTCAATTTTACTGTGTAGGTGTTCAAATCAGATCCTGTGGTGTCTATGGGAGTTGTGACAGTATTTAGGGTTGCAAATCTAGAGAGGTCACATTCAGTGTTTCAATACAGTAGTCAAATCACAATTTAAAATGTAAGCTTTGTCCAAATCTGTAATTTAAGTAAATTTCTTCCAGTTTCATTTCCATGCCACTATCTCCTCGCAACAATGCAGCGAATTGATTTGACCTTCACATTTGAGGAATTGTGTGGAATATTTATGGTGTAATTCTCAGTTAGGGAAGATTGGGATCATGCCAAATTTGTAGTTTCATTACAGAATCAAAAAATCTCGAGGAATCTTGTTACTTACATTTGACTGGATGTGTAAGTAAGTATAGTCTTGCTTCTCCAGTATCGATGGCGCTAGAAGTTAGTTGTGTGTAAAATGACGGATGCTGCCTTCTTGTATGGATTTGAGCTTCTGACTAGTATGAGATATTGCCGGGTATGTTATAAATACCTAGATGAGCATTTCAAACTTTAGAAACTTGAGAATTGGCCGAAGCATTCAATCCTTCGGCTTTGAACCAGATAATCTTCACTCAACCTGTACCACACCTTCCAAGCTGTCAGGGTTTCCGTCACTGAGCCGATCCCAGGACCTTCGTGTGGTTGCGTTTCAACCCTTTTCAATGATGATAATCTTGAGTAGAGACGAGATAAAAGGAGAATGAAATATTTCAATCGCCGCTTCGGCAGAACAATCGGCTCTCAGACGAACCACCTCACCAAGCCGAAGTTGATACTGCAGAAAGGTGATCTGAAATGCCAACTGGCGCTAGGAATCCATTTAGGCATGAGCTAAAACTGGCAACAGAGAACCCAACTGAACCAAGATGACAAGGTCGTGCTTAAATCAACTACCCCGAATAAGAATCCAGCGCAGTTGGCTGTCATGGAGTTCAGCTTCGCGTCATAACCGACTGGTATAACGCGTTTAGCCCTGACTAGATCACGCAAAATACCAGACTATATCACGTGCAAGGTGCCCACAGTAAAATACGCACTTGGGTTGAGTTTTCAAAGAGCTTGATAAACTCGTGGAAAACGGGCGTAATATTTTATTTTAAGAAAAAGTATCTTCGCCCATGTACAGTTCCAGACATCGAGATGTGCACCTTTTTCTTTCTGAGAGAGCGTCCTAACTAATGTATGGAATTAACACATCGTTTTCAATTTAAAATGGCGGTAATGCAAGTGGATTCCTAGGGTTCAGCAAGATCCGAAAATGTGACAAGTAACGTGCACCAAAGCCTCTCACGCTGCCACACACTCCGCATGGTCCACATGCAGATCTTCTTGCAGCACATGGCCGATTCAAGGCCTGACACAGCATCATCATTTTCCCCATTAAATATTTCAGATTCCAGTACTTGTGTCGATCTCTTTGCAGATTTCCAAGAGACTAGCAATTGACTCGCGGTGCACGACGTGAGCACAACAGGGGAATTTAATTAAACATGGACAGTCATGAGAGATGACAGAAAATTCGTGGTCGCCGGAATTTCTGTAATGGTACCCCAAACCCACGAGTTTCTTGTAGCAAATGGACCAAGTTTCCCTAAGGAACGAAAAAGAAGAAGAGCAAACACAGATGCGGCACACAGTACTCAAAACAAATCTGTCCGCTGCGTCTCCAGTTGCCGGGTAACTTGTGGTGGAGGAAACGCTGCAAATTCCTGCAGCGTCGACACTGTCCATAAGGCGTGACGGTTGATCACCAGTGGCCAGGGATCTGAATGCCCCAAAGGATGGACGGAGTAGAATCCGTGGCCCAGAGATGCACACAACACCGACACAATGTTTACTGTTGCAGTGCCCATGTCGGTATTCCCTAGGAACCTGAGGCATCCTGCCTTGCGGTAAATGGCTTCTTTTCTACAACACAAGTGCACAACTGTGACGAAATATACTTAAAAGAGTTACATCAATTCCACAATTTTAGGATGTAGCGAAACGAGCTGAACTCCCTCTGGTTCATATTATAGCAAGCTTCACACCCACAATCGAGTTTAACAATAGATGTGGAGAAATCAAATTAAAATCCCGGCAGGAAATTAGACCTGCTGCATGGGTTTCCCCAAATCGCAACTTACAGAGATCCAACCAACTACGATTCATGTCGAATTCCTGCCACAGGTGTACAGAAATGGGTAGAGTAAAGTGGGCGTGTTGGTGTTTCAAAGTGCTTTGCATCGGACACCAATTTCATTACCAACGATAGCCTAGTAACATATAGTAAGCCTCTTCAATTTACTATTGTTTACTTTTCTACTTCATTGATATAATTATTTTGATAGTGCATCTAAAATCCTGAGGTAAGTAACCTGTCATTCAAAAATACCGAACCTCATCCCACACTCGACAACCAGATCGTCATGCAAACGTCTCGTGAATAGCGCCGAAAAAGCCATTGCAGTACACACCCCAGTCAGCACAGACTTGAAGTGCCAGACCTTATACAATTATTCAGGTAATGGTCGGATACGTTGGTCAGATATTAATTAACCGACCAGTTTGGAGCCTCACAGCAAATCCACAGTAATTCTCAGCGGTACAGTAAATCACTGTTCGATGTGAAGGAGGAGCAGGAACTCGTGTAAGCATTGATTAGACGTGAGGACAAGTAGTAGAGAATGGAAGATGGATTACGCCCTGGTGGTAAGAAAAGCTTCAATGAGTTCGAAGTGTGGGTGAGATCTGGGGACCTCTTCCAGTTCCAGTCCATGTGATCTCATGAAGAGGAGTGAAAGAGGACAAACCCGATGGCGAAGCACTGGAGAATGCATGATTCCCATTAATGATTGCACAAACTATCGGGCGATACAGATCGCCAATTATGGTAATGTCGGAGATACTCTGACACTTTTGCGCAAAAGTTGACAATGGGCAACGTGTCAAGCTTGCCACGTGCTGTCATCCACGCACACCGGAGTTGCAATGAAACCGAGGGTGCGACGAATGATGCACCCAATGAAGGCGCCACTTGGAACGGACAGGCGCGCAGTCCCGATCAGAAGATGCCGGGGCAATATACCGGATAGGTGCACATCTCCAGGCTGAGTCATCAATTAGCGATGCATTTGAACCAGTTTTTTTTCCTCTGGTTTTTCTCTTTTCTTTTGCCTATTTCAGGATATCGGCTATATTCAGGCCGTGCTCATTGGATCGGAGGTGCATGTACAGTCTGATGCTCGTTATGCCGCCGACTGAATCTCTGCGACCTGGCAAGTCCTGGCAGGGATCATGAACTGACTCTCTCCTCTCTCCCTCCCTCCCTCCCTCGCTGCCCACCCGTTCGGTACCTACCTTGTCAACACGGCGTAAACATCGCCTTCCGATTTGCAATTACCCTCCATGACAGTAACAACTTGATGGGGGGGGGGGGGGGGAAATAACAAACAAATGAGTCACCACAAGCTTAGCCAAGCCAGCCAATTTCTGCTCCGTGACTCGATGACGCGAGACGGATGTTTCGCCAACAGTTTTCGTTACGTTGTGAGCTACAGAGAGCATTTTCTGATGTTTTTCTCGCATTCAATCATAGTTGGAGAATGAAGTGTAAACGGAGCAATATGTACCAACGGGAAGTCGAAGCTTGGGAATGCTCATTGTGATTGGATGGTTGAGAATTGAGAAAATTGAAGCTGGGAGACAAAACAAATCGCTATTTCTTACTTCGGCAACCTCATTTTGCTGAGCAATCTTGTCTCCTAGGTCCACTTTGGTAGTGTTTACTATTTTATTATGTTTTATTTTAAGGGGAAATATCATTTGCACCCCTCAAATACGTCAAAATATCAAAAATATCCGTATATTCTTGATAATAGCATATATACCCTAGAATTGTTCATAATAGCATGTGTATCCTCCAACCTGCATTAGAAATCTGCAATTCCATTAATGTGTTTTGTCTTCATATGGGCCAAAAAAGAAAAAAGAAAAAAAAAGGAGTCCCGCATAATGTGCACTCTCAGGCAGATTGTCTGAAGAAAAAACAAAAGGAGAGTGCCACAGCATGCGGCTCTCTCCTCCGTCCCCCCTGAGCATCTCGCTCCCCCGCAGTATCCCGTCCTCCGTCGCCTCCGTTAATGCTTTATCTCCCAGTTGTTGTAAATCTGAACTTCTCAGTATTTCCTTTCTGATGAAGGAGAATACATGATACAACATCAAGTGGTTCGATTTCGATTAAACATGTTGTAAGCGAAATTTGACCATGCCCACTGCAGAACTCTTTGCCTTTCGTTGAGCTGTTTCGCTGGCGAAAACATAATCAAAAACACATATTCATTCTCATTAGCACTCTCGCAGATACTTATCAATATGATCCCAGTGGGTTGGGTAGGTGTAAAAGTTATGCTGTGAAAAGACTGTGAAAAGACCGGTGGTAGATTTGAGTTGTAGAATCATATTGTCTTCACTTCAAGGCTGTATTACTTCATGTAAAACGCGTGAGGTAGGTAATACAGCAGCAGCATTGACCAGCAAAGAAAATGATCCCTATGAGTTGAGTACAGGATCCCAATGTGGCTAAACTTTTAAATGAATGATCAAAGAATCAGAAAGAAATTGCAGATTCTAATAGGCGGCTCAACTCATTGAGCCAGTAACAGTGACTCAATCCCTAAAGCTCACCAAAGCAGCAACGAGACATTTTGTATTCTGTTTCTTGTATATGACGAGGAGGGGTCATTCACTAAAGCGAAATAGTGAAAGAACTCTCCCCCAACTCATAGCTTCCATATTATTCTTCTGTAAATGGATATAGTTTGTTTGGAACCTAGGAAGCAGCATTTGAAAACGAAGTCTCCTACAAGAATTCCGCCAATAGCACCTCCTATCAATGCTAATGCAGTATTTCCATAAAATTAACTTTGCCACACATATAGATTGGATCCCACACAACGTTGGCGGATTCAACGAGGTAGCCAGAGAGAGAGAGATACCACCACCATAGCCAAGATATAAGATTGGATGCTGCAAAAACAAGACTAGTGGATGATTTGCATGAAACCTGACAGCCACACTACCATAGCCAACACGGAGATGGGACACAAGATCACACTTTGTGGGGCGTTGGGCATCATCAGCATGTCTCCAGCCAGGAGGAGCAGAGCTCTTTGCTTTGTGGGGTACCCACGACCTCGTCTAAAACATGAGCACGTTTCAGGCACAGGGTTGTCATCGTGGGGTTCACAAGTTCATGATCACTTTGCCATTGTAACGTTCATGCTGCGGTGAGGCAAGGTCCTGTATTTGTGAAACAAATAGAAATTTCTTAACAACATCGTTTCACACTATGGATTTGAGAGTTTGCAGCAAAAGACGGTCACTTGCTTCCAAAGGACTAACCCAGTGGGACTTGGGCTGAGGACTGACACTTGGTGATGGAGATAGTAATCGATCCCAATCTCCGCTGACCTTGTGATTGTCTTAGCTTCTCGTCCGCGGCTGGATGGAGGGTTGTCAAAATTCCAAAGTTATCACAAAAGCAAGATGGCAACATAAAATTTGGTTCGTGTCGATGTATGCACGTGGCAACCGTCGCGCTCACTTCACAACTGAGGCTTGGTGATCTGAGAGTGCTAATATGAATGAAGATGTGTTTTTGATTGTGTTTTCGCCAACGAAACTACTCAACGAACGGCAAAAAGTTCTGGAATGGACACTGTTGAATCTTGCTTACAACATGTTTGATCGAAATCGAACCACTTGATGTTGTATCATGTGTTCTCCTTCAGCAGAAAGGGAATACTGAGAAGTTCAGATTTACAACCACAATGAGATAAAACATTAACGGAGGCGATGGAGGGCGAGATACTGCAGGAGAGAGCCGCATGCTGTGCGTTATCGGGCAGCTGCGACACTATTCTTTTTCTTTTCTTACAATCTGCCTGAGAGTACACATTATGCGCGATTCATTTTTTTTTGGCCCATATGTAAACAAAACTTATTAATGGAATTGTCAGATTTCTAATATCTTAATCAAGGTAGAGGGTACATATGCTATTATCAAGAATATATGGGTATTTTTGATATTTCAACATATTTGAGGGGTACAAATGATATTTTCCCTTATTTTAATAGGTTGTTTTCTAAAACTCATATTCATGTGTATAGAAATTGTTTTGAAGAGCATTGATTTGAGTTGAGTTGCAGTTTATTATCTTACCATAGTAAAGCAACAAAGTTGTGGCATTAATAAAATGTATTATGGGTTTTCAAAACTGGAAAGAGTAAATAATCAAACATAATCAAACATTTTTTACCCATCTTTTTCTTCTTCGTGCTAGATATATATATATATATATGTGCATGAGTATGTAATTTTTTATTTATTAATTTCTCTGAAATTATTTCTTTAGTAAAGTCCTGTCGTGTTCAGACTAATAAACCTTGTGCTAGAAGCTCAGGGTATGAGGATCTGGCTCTGCATCTGTTTCATGGTTTCTTGGTAAGAAAGACCCACCAACAACCAGTTTAATTTTATTTTTTGAGAACTTGGATCCAACTACTATTCATGGGTGTTTCTGAACCTTTGAAATGAGTTGAAAAGAGAGAAAAAGAAAAAAAAGAAGAATAAGAAAAGAAAAGAAAATCATTTGTTGCAATATGACCTGCCCAATACCACTCACAGGTCCCTTACACTCACGCAGAATTTTCAAAAAAAACTAACACAATTTATCTAACTATTTTCGAAAAGGCATCTTTTTCTACAATGACCATTTCATTCCTTCAAATATGCTGATCCTCACCACCCCTCCTCACGTCTCACAAGACCGCTCCCTGATCTAAACAGATTTCGTGTTTTTCCTATTTATTTCTCTTCTATCATCAATGCAGACAACGTCCACACTATTGTGATGGAATGTGACAAATGAGCCTGGGCGTGTCCTCGGGTTGGCTGGTTTAGTGGGGCAGAAGAATCAAGGCCAACTGTTTATCTATGTCTGTATATATAATTTTCTTCCTCGCAACAAAAAAGCGCCGTTGGTCTGGAATCAGGCTCACTTAGAAGCAATTATGAATTCAATGAGAAAAACCACCCAAATCGAGTCAACACAGAGGAAAGAAAACAAGAAGAGATAAGAGAACCCGATGTCCAAGTCGCGAGCTATTTAGTCGTTTCATGGGGGAGGGACATAATCTGATATTGGTGGATCTTCCTATCCTCTTCCGTGTGCAGCAAACCATGTTGCTTGTGACATCAGATTTCAAAATCTTCGGCTCAACTTTAACTGTACGTCTCTGCTTCCAGCGTAGTAGTACAATCCCAGATTAAAATTGTTCACGATTAGGTCTGACTGCTTATCCAACAGAGCATAATTGAAACAATTGCAGGCAGTGAAGTCAGAATAACATCACATCTCTCGGTCGGCACAAGTACCACGATGATATCAGGGTTTTACCTATTCTCTTTAGAGCACTTTTCTTTAAATTTGAGGTCTGGAAAATCAGTCTCTCACACAAACTGGACAACGAATTTTCAACACTTAAATCTACCCAAAAAACTGCCAAACCCAGTTGAAGTGCATACAACTAGCAAAAGTAAACCACCTCAGTGTTTACAACTAGCTCATGAGCAGTGCCCTGCACGAATGATCGTGGTCGTTCATAAGAGAAATGCTTTACAGAGATGAACAGCTGCAAGGGACCCGTCCTACCACATCAAAATATACAATTTCCTCGCTGGAGGACTCGGCAGCCTTTACAGAGTAGTTCACGAACTGTAAGCTCCTGATCTGCCTGCATTTCTCTCATCTATCATGACGTCCAGTGACAGAGGGAGAGGGTTTCAGCTGGTCCAAGAAAGAATATCAAGTGTGAGCACAACATGATAAAAGATGAAGAGGACGGCGATTGAAAATCACATACATACATTTCTCTTCTTCTGCTGCTGCACACGTGCACCATGCACACACCACCCCAACGGCTGGCCATAACAGCCATGAAGATTGATTATTATTCTGAACAAAACCACCTACAACCTAAGTATTAACTCCATTGTACTGCTCCGTGTGGGCTTCGCTTCATGCTCAAGTGGTTGGAACTCGTAACCTTTAAGCAACTCATTCGAACATCAACATCATGGCCCACATGGATTGGCGAGTTCGCATCCGATGGTAATTCTCAGCCGACCAGTCTTGCTTGCACTGCTGGGTCCAACCTAGAACCGACGCCGCTAACGTAACCGTGCCTCTGTCTATCTGTCCTCTCTCCCTCTTTCTTTAGCCGGAAGAAGGTACTCTCGCACGCTTAGCAGCCGAGGTCGCCCTCTGCTTCACAAGGGCGGCGAAGCTCTCCCACGGAAGCTCTGGGGGGATGGGGTAGAGCTGCAGCTGCTGCGGCGAATCCTCGAAATTGTAGGGGATTTTCTTCTTGGTGTAGAAGATGCCCACATCATACGCACGCGCGGCCTCTTCAGGGGTTTCATATGTGCCCAGCCAGATTTTGCGCTTCTGCGATGTGGGTCGAATTTCGGTCACCCATTTGTTCAACTCAGGCCGGTGCCGAACTCCTCTAAAGATAGTAGTATCGCCAGTGCCAACACTCACATCATCTGAATCCCATGCGGATGGCACCTTATTCAAATCTATATTCCGAAATTTAAGCGCATTCTGACCGCTATCATCTCTTGCCGCTAACCGCATTCCTTTCCTCTCTTCTTCTTGGCTTGATTCAGACTTGCTCTCATCAACTTCGTTCTTGACCCTTGCTGAGTCTATTTTGCTCGGTAGCTGCAACCCCTGCTCTCTCGCCTTGCCACCTCCGCAGGGATCCCACCAATTCTTTGATTTGGGCCGGCCCTGTTCAAGGATGCTTGATATTGTCAAATTCATTAACTATACTAACAAGCCTCCCGCTCGAAGCTGATACTTCTAAAGTTCTCGCGCGAACTGCGGCAGAAAGAGAAACCAAAAGCTTAGTCAACGAACAACTCACATCCTAGTCCATCCCCAAGTCAAAAGCAAAAAGGTGCAATTCCTGGGCAATGTGTTTAGGACAATATCCATGGTCCATTCAATTTTAACTTGTTTTTTCCCCTTATAATACAAAGGAAAGAATGCAACAGAATAATAAATCATGTCCAAAAAGAAGGAATTAAGCAACTGACCTTTGATTTGGTCACAATCGTCAATAGACACTAAATTCAGAAGTGATCCAGTTGAAAGTGTGTTTTTGTTGTGCGCTCCCAGAAGACCTTGCTAAGCTTTATTAACACATGGGGTCATGTAGGGCATCTCTCAAAGATGGTAAGGGCAATCACGTCGTCTGTATGCAAGAAAAGACGATTAGCAATGAGAAAGGATAAGTTATCTCTGTAGCGTCTCAGCAGTGCAAAACAACTATGTTAACACGTCCCATAGGTAGCACAAGCACGTCACTTCACACTGAAGTCCATTGCATCACCGCCTCCGGGCTCCAATGATAAACCGAAGGATTTCACATGTAGATCGAAGACGATCAAGTGTCCACTGTTTGCACATCCGTGTAAGTGAACAAGGCGAAGGTCCCCATTTCGCGAGAAAAACATGTTGCGAGTTCTACTCATAGAGATTATAACCTATATGTGATAAACAACCAATAAACCAAGGATGCGATACAGCCGATATCACTACAAGACTACTCTGCTCGTTTGCAGTCGAAACTAACACCGGATGCGACGCCCTATTCTCACAGAAATGTCACATACGCAGTCCATGCATTGAGCCCACAGCACCCCACACCACCTCCTCCGCTAGAAGCATCGTCAGAGACACAAAAGCGAAGGAGGTCACAATAAGACCCACAAACACGCCTTGCCCGTAAGAAAATCAAGCGTATCCAGAACTTGAAGACGAAGCCCACCAAGACCAACCCAGCGCCCTCGCAACAACGTTAGCAATCAGACCCTTAAAAGCTTTAAACCAAACCCAAATCCTGAAACACACAACCAAACTCCACCAGGCCATGAGACCAATAGGAGCTCTATTCAGCTTAGACGCCAACAATGAAGATCGCGTAGCTCCTCCTACCCCCCAACAGCTCCTGATCGACCCCATCAAAAGCCAGTAAAACCCAAAGCCAAGGGCAACACACAAACACACACACACACACACACGCGCACACACATAGACGGTAACGAGGGGATGTGAGCGAATATGTACCAAGAGAGAGCAAGGGGGGAGGGCAGACAGGTCCACACCCAACATCTACAGACAGCAGCACCCAGACACCACCGAAGTCCAAGATGCGTCGGCAGGGAGGCAGACAGGGAAGGGAAGTGAAGCCGGTGTGCCGCACCTCGAGCACTAGTAGAATGGGGTATTTGCTGCGGTGCGCGATGGCTGGGTTCGGAAGAGAGAGGGGGAAGCGGAAGTCAAGACTATGGAGACTCTGAAGAGAAACACAGCTATGCTAAAGCGAGAGAGAGAGAGCAGAGCAGAGAGAAGAGTGGAAGGGTGGGGATGCAGAGGAAGCATCTACGGAAATGGCGCTGGGGTATCGCCGTGGCGTTAGCGGGTGATGCGGAGCGAAACTGGAGAGCAAAGAGGGGAGGAGTTGGGAAAAGGAACACCACCACCACACCAACCCCACTCACTCACTCGCTCACACTCACTCTCTTGCTCACTCACAGCGCACAAGGAACGGAAGGGGAAGGAGAGAGTCGTGGAGAGTGGGCCGCGTGGGCTCTACCGCCCCCCCCACCGCCACTACCTGGGGTTCCCGTCCCCCCACTCCCTCCCCGCCTTCTCCGCCGCTGCCAGGCCCCCCGCCCCCGCCCTCTCCCTCCTCCGCTCTCTTCATTCATCCGTATCCCTTTCATCTGTTTCATGGATGTATTAGTGGATTGATAGATGAGTGTGTGGTGGTGGATGTGAATGTATGGCTGTGTGTGGATGGATGTGGGAGGGTGGGTGGATGGATTTCACATTCCCCGCCTCTGACCCCGTTCTCCCGAATTACATTTCAATGAAATCGCAATCACGGCGTGTTTGGTTGTTCTGGACCCGCCAAAAAAGCGTTGCACTCGTAACTTTTCGCTTTCAGGGTATTGAGGGATCATTTTCACAATTATGTTCGAAATTTGCCAGTTTGCCAATCTGAGGAGCAATTGGGTTGAATTTAGCTAAATTTAGCATATACTGAGGGATTTAGGACATCATCTATTCTTGAGTCCTCATGTCTCGACATGAACATCGTTTTCCACGCTAAAATTACCGGCGAATTCTCGTTCCTTTTTATTCTTTTTTATCCTTATTATTATTGTTATTGTTATTTATATCCATCTTCCCTGCAGTGTCCCCTTTATGTATGCTTTCTTCTTTCTTTGTATGACAATCAATACAATGGTTTGACACTCACTTATTTTTTAATCACTTCAGGAAGGCAATGTTGGTGGTAAAATGACATCCCGATTCTACATGTAGTATTTTGTGTGAAGTCACTGTAATGGTTTATTTTATTATTACTACTCCTGAAAAGTGAAAAATAACATTAATTTGGTTTGGTTTTTTTAAGGAATAATTTGGGATATGTAACATTCAAAACAATCAAAACTCAATGATGTTGTACTAGAGAATGAAAAAAAAACAAAAAACAAAAAACAAAAAACAAAAAAAAAACAAAACCAAAACCAAAACAAACTAATTGCATGAACATATTCTATGGACACAACAATGAAATCAAATGAAAATATAAAAATGCAACATATATTTTTGAAAGCCCTTACTTTTTAGTATAAATATGTAGAGCAAGAAAATGATAATTTTTGAACTCGTCTATCAATTGGGTATCCTGTAATGAATACGACTTGGTTGATACATTCAACCAAAAAACAAATACCAGTCGAAAAAGAAAAGGTTGACAAGATTGCAACGGAGTATCTTCTATCAAATATTTGTATACAGTGTGTAAACACCTAGTATAGAGTAGTATTTGATTTAGTTATGGACAGATAAATAAAGAGATTCAATGCCTTCACGTATAAGATAAATACATACGTACATACATGTATACATGTATACACATTCATCCTTTTTCATTCTTGCCTTCATTTTGTATAGTTCATGACAACGATGCTAGCTTCTTATTTTTATTTTTATTATTTTATCAATGCGATTATTGAAACTAAACTCCACACGCATGTAGCACCCTCAACCTTCACCCACAAGCCAGAAGAACGAATGAACGAACGAATGAACGGCTGAAGAACGAATGAAGTAGTATTCATCGCCCAGCGTGGACAGTAAGAAAGGCAGGTTCATCACGTTAGAGAGAGCTCAGCTGCTAACGTGACCACGCTTTCCTTCAGACAAACTATGCCCCACTGACGTTTACGTTTTTCTTTATAATTTTACTTTTTATATTTTTGTCCAGGCGAACCTTTTGCAGGCTCCGGTGGGACAGACGAGGCGCCGCGGGATCTGCATGGGGATCTCGAGCATCAGCGCGGCCAGGGCATGAATGACCTGTGTGAACGGTCTCGTGGGCACTTAGGCAACCGTCGATGTGCTGCAGTGGGGGGGGAGAGGAAAACAATCTTTTGAAGGATTTTTTTTTTTTTTTTTCGATGGGTCTGAATTATAGTGTGGTCGGCCAGCGCTCCGTGGTGTGCTGCGTTGAATCTAATAATCGAAAGATTTGGAGTTTAGGGGGGCGGGGAAGTCAGTGCTGACGGTTGTGGAAGTGGCGTCATCTTTGGCGGAGTCTGGTGGATGAGTGATGAAAGCTTGCAGTCTGTCGTGTCATGACTAAATGTTTGTAACTGCTCTTCACACTCTGCCGCGAAAGTTCCGGACGGCTGTGCGGAGGAAGCGCCGCTCGAGGTGGACGGGTCCAGCGGGTTTCAGTAGATGCGAGGGAATATGGTGCACCGGGCGCGCATGGACTAAGGCGCCGCCGTTGTGCGATCCATGAGCAGAATCACGAATTGACACAGACGTGGGGTGCTCTGGCTCAGGATTACCACTTGAGGATTCCGAGTCCCATCGTATCGCTGCTGGCATGCGCTCATCACTGCACCTTCTGGACCCTGAAGACGGTGCGCGAAACGCCCCAATCGGACTTCGCACAACGAGCACATTCTATTCTGCTCGCTGACTGGCATTCATTTAACTTGCATCAATGTGGAACACTCAAAAACTGCAAAGACGGTTCATTTCACCGTCATTCCACGTTCTCGGATTTGTTTGTTGAGACAGCACGTCGAGCCTTGTGAGCTGGAGATTGCTCGTTGGGTTCTCTCAACAGTTGCTGCAATAGGCAAGTGCTACGGCGGTGAGTGCGGCAACCATGTCGCTTGCATCAGCAACATCTTCTCGCAGCTAATTCTTCCCCTGCGTGCCATTTTTTTTGTTCGTGCCCAGATTGCTATGTATTTTCTAATCCCAAACATTGAGTCCATAACTGAATATGAAGTTGGACGTTGGAGTGGTGCAAACACATACAACACTTGATATCCATTGTCTTCTTCAATCACATTTTTGAAGTGTCATACAATCCACAAACAAAACGAGTTACAGAAACAAAAAAGAATGGAAACCATCCACCAAAAATATGTTGAGTTGTTGATGGCCGTTCTAACAAATTACAGTTGAGGCGCACTACACAAGTCATTCTAGTGTGTAGGGAGTAATAGAAAAATGAATCCAACTTAAAGTATGGTAGTTCAAGTCAAGAAGCTGACTTTCAAACCTGACCATGGCAGAGGTAGTCGGTTGGTCAAAACTAGTAGCTACATGAATTGAATGCATTCAATTAATTGCAAATATCAAGGCTTCTCAATTCATTCCACATTTACATTTTTATAGTGGGCCAATGATGTAGTGATGGTGGATACTTAAACTCTGGTATAAAAGTAATATTCCTGACGACACCTTCCACCAATGTCGCCGGGAAAAATACTTCCAAAAGTTTCTTGAATGTTCAATTGTTTTTTATCATCATTTTCATTAAAAAAAAATTGCCCATTCTTTTTCACTTTCGGTGCTAGAAGTTGAACCAAAGAAATGATCTCTCTCTCTCTCTCTCTCTCTCTCTCTCTTTATATATATATATATATATATATCTGTGTTCCATACTTCAGTTAATACCTTGAAGACGTACTGTCCAATGTATGATGTGCAAAGGTTTCAACTATGGCAGAATTCCAACACCATATATAATCTGAAAGCTTAAAATAATTTCTCTCTGAGTTCAATCCTAAAATGAATATCACAACATGCTAAAGCATTAGAATTATGAAAGAACAGTATGTGTTTCCAGTAACCATGAAAGAAAGAAAGAAAGAATATATATATATATATTATATTTGAATGTTTAACAATTTTTGCTATGTTTCATACTGTGATGAATGTGTTTGTTTGAAGATGTATGGTCTAAGAAAATCACAGTAAAATATTAGTAAGTTTTAGTGATGAAAGTTTAGATTGTGAGATAAAATATTTCACAATCAGAAATCAAAACCTTCCACTTTGAGAATATTTTATCTTATTCAAAGTCAATGCTTCATGAAAGAGGCATAAAATCAAAAGGATTGGTTTTGATCTTCTCATGTGACAAGTTTATTTTTCATACTTCAACTTTTTATTTATATTTATATTTATGTGGATACTTTGATATTCCCACACATGAAAGAAGTTGCTCACAAAGTCACTTCTTCACCAAAAGTGACCACATTGTCACAAGTATCTCTTAACCCACAAGATTCAATTTCCCATCAAGTACAATTCCATTAGCACCTCACATTTCAACCCCACCAAATAAACTAGGTTGGATCAATCATTTAAGGGTTGTGGTCAACCATCTTTTGCAATATATATATATATATATATATATATATTTCATACACTGACTAGGGAATTGTTGCCCAAACTCAATGTCACTGCTCCAAAACCATGCAAAAAGTGGCTCTTGTCTCCACAGTTTTGACTAAGCCTCCTGGGACTTGTACTCTTCTACATGTGTAATTGCTAAAATTAAATGACATACTATTTGGCACCCTTAATACCCTCAAGTTGGCATCTAAATAAACCAAACATAAAGAATGGAGGGTTCTGTGGATATTCATTTTGCATGCAGGTGAATTGCACACACATTTGAGCTTTGGGGGGTACTCTCCCTCTACCAAAACAAGGTCTGGCATCAAATTCAACTATATCCATTGGGGAAAATCACATGTCTTAAAAATTCATAAATAACCAGAATAACAAAGTATGACTACATTGCCCTGCAAAGACGTTTGTTTGTTTGATCATTAGGCATTCTAATCAAAATTAAAATTCTCTACAGACTTGTTCTCCGTTTCAAATCTGTAGCTTCATCCAGAATCTTGTTAGTTTATTTATTTGCCTTTTGTTCATGAAGTGTGTAATGTTTACCTGGCTTTTGATTTAGAAAATGGGTGCTTGTTTGGAGACTCCGAGTTAGAGAACATGAGATTGCGAAGAAGAAAACGAAGTAACGACATGGGAAGGAAGACATGAGAGGGAGGCTGGAAGTGAAGCATGTGGGGGTTAGTGGTGGTGGGGGCACCGCCAAACCGGCACGCATGGAACAGAGACGCCGCCACCTTTGCCGGCTCCCACTGATCCTGATCGTGCCGCTGTTGCTGCTGATC